CATGGATGTAATAGAGTGTCTCTATTACATCCATGAACAAAACATAATAAACATAACCTACAAACACTCTATCTCTTTTCAATACAACCTAAATGACGTTCATCTCTTTCTCGCATTTGAGCGGGGAGCAGGGGACGCAAAAGTGAGAATCGTACGTCATCAACGCGGGAATTTTAAAAGCGCAAATGGGTATATAAATTTTCAATAATTTTTTTAACAATGACTTTGTTCGAAAATATTAAAAAAAAAAATAACGGTAACTATATTTTTATATAAACTTTCAGAAAATATAATAAAAAAAAATCGTGTATGACCCCATTAATGATATAACTCAATCTTTATCCTAGCTCGCTTCATCCTTGTTCGATTCATCTTCGCTTGCTTCATCTGACTGATATGCTTCTAGTGGAAGTAACATTTCTAACGTTTGCATTAAGGTGGCCGTTCAATTTACTTGGGTTCTAAAAACTGATAAAAAAATTTGTATAGTTCCTTCTCTGATTTGTAGAGGTCGCAAAATGTTTGGTTTAGCATCTTTAAAATACAGATGTTTCGCTTCTACTGAAAAGTGAGACAGAAACACATCGACTATTGTATAGACGTGTTTTTATACCGCTACGACCGGCCGATTATTTGTCATCGTATTATGAAAAGTGTTGGTATAGAAAAATATATTAAGGCTGTAGTCTCAGGGCTGAAAATTTAATTCCAACAGAACGCGTTTACCGTTTGATATAGCCAAAATACTTTCAAATAAAAAATGCATAGAAAGACGAACTCTACGACCGCACGGTGAGATATTTAGATAATTGTTGATAATAACGTAGATAAAGAAGGGATTTAAGAAGAGTTTCGAAACCGAGTTCTTGGTGCCGTGGATAATAATTTTCCGGTTACTTTTTCAGCATACATTTTTTTGATTTTTTTTTATAAAATGGGTATTTATCCGGGTATTTACCCCAGCCCAAGATAAATACCCAAACAGTACCTACTAAAACTTAATATATTATTTAACGTTTATTGTTTCGTTCAGAATCAGTTTCATCTCTCTAAGGCTATCCGAAATAAGGACTATATCATCTGCGTAGCGCAAATTACTTAGGTATTTGCCATCAATGTTTATGCTTTTTGGGTCCAATTCAGTTGTTTAAATGCTCTCTCCAGGATTGTGATGAACAATTTGGGTTCAACATTGTATCACCTTATCTTACCCCACGACCTATGGTACTTTTATGCAATTCTACCGTCATTGTAGCATTCTTGTAAATGCTATAAATATGTTTGGTGTATCGATAATCGACTCTGCATTCTTGAAGTGGTTGCAAAACTGCCATCAACTCAATTTGAATAAAATTTTATAAATACCTCTAAATACCCATCTTGGGTAAATACCCCCGTATATATATTCAGGGAATCTTCCCTTGAAAATAAATACCCGGGTATTTAACAACACTGCTAGTAAGTAACTTCAATGTCTAGAACACTAGACCTAGAACTAGAAACTTTCGAACTTGTTTCTGAAGAAGGTTGCAACATGGCATCCGAAACGTTAAAATTTTTTTCAAAAAACGCACAGCTTAACCCAAAAGTTTCTAGTTTTAGGTCTAGTGCTAGATCTAGTTTTAGTTTAATTAACACCGTGAAAGCCTTCGTACTTATAATTAAAAGTATCCTAAAAAATAGGATACCGCACTAGGAGTTTAGCCATTAGATACAAAATACCCTTGATATAATAATAAAAGTAAAGATTCAGCCGTTTCTTGATCTTGCTCTATTAAAATTGTTGTTCGTATAACATCACATTGAAAGAATAGGGACCTTTTCGGTATTTCTGTTTTTGACCATCGCTACTCACAATTATCTATTAATAAATTAATTTTGTACAATTGTCTAAATCTTAACCATGTACAATTTATGGGTAAATTTGTTATCAATCTTTGTTATAAATAACTATTTTTAATTGCAGTACAATACCGCGTTTTACCTACAATTTTTGATTTGTGTTCATCTGCATAATCCACAAAATTACCAAAATCCTTGTTCTATTAGATAATTACTGATGAAGACACCACTTACTGTTCACGTCTTTTTAAACGTTTTATAAAAAAACGGGTAATATAAACATATTCAATTCAAACGGATTACTTGGGCAGAAGACAAATAAACAGATTAAGGCTCGTTACTACCATCTTGTGGTTAAGCTATCTAAGGGATTATTACCACGGTTACGGTTAGTTTACGCGCTTTGATTGGCTAGTAGATGAATTTATCTATAAGATAAGTTTAACGAAAAGGTGGTAGTAATGGACCTAAGAACAGCAAAAAATCTATTGTTCGTTATCTGTAAAAAGCTCTCTCTCTCGGTATTCCCCACCGAGAAATAAGCTCCGTTTTCTTGCTTCCGAACGTCTGTCTCTTCGGCCCCTCAGAAACTGTGTGACCATGAGACTACAGCACATTTATTTGCAAAGGGCATCTATATTTAATATTTTATTCGAAAGGATTAATTGCCCAAAATTGTTAACTGTTATATATTTGATTGATACACTGATAAAAACGGTATTAAAATTCCTTATAGGATGTTGTAAAAACCAAAGTAAACGTATATTTACAGTACTACGTAATAATTTTAATATGTTCCCTCTATGAGACGATTGACAAAGTTTTAAAATGTCTTAATTTACCGATTTTAGGTAGATTCCTTTACGCAATCTAGTGAAGCTTAAGTATATTGAGGAAATCGCACATTTTCACTTGGTGCAGCTTCCCGTGATAATGACAAATTTTCTGCGCTTGTACTAGCGTGGAATCTATTCCTATGATACATGTGCAAAAAATGACACCTTTGTTCTCCCGTTTAAGTGTATAATTTTCACATAAATCGCATTTATACGAAGTCGTTTTTATGGCAAAGTTTAGCAATTTTTTGTGATTAACATCCTAATTATTTTACAACAAAAAATACGTCATTTTGTACAGATATATGTTAACAACAATCCTATGTATTTAACTTTGAATAAAGATATGAGAGAAAGCCGGGAAGCTGCACCGAGTGAACCAGTGTCGGTTCATATAAAAATCGCCATTGAACGGCGGCCTTAAAAAAGGTTCAGTCCGTTTTCGTGGAATTAGTCTCAGAGAAGATATTAGTGGGTCCGGTTGACCAGATACAGGAGGTGTCTGAAAATCGTAAATTTCAAACACTCCCTGTATATCAAAAACGAAGAGGGCTATGAAAATTTGGTTTGCGCCATTGTAAGTTTCATAAAAAAGTAGCTCAGGTTCGCGAAAGCCGCAACTTTCTATCTTTCATAATAACTGAGATACCCTGCAAACCCATCGAAATTTGAACACCTGTAGTGTGCTTGTTTGTATCCATCACAGCCCCATTTATATATTATTTCTACGTTTTCTCTTTCTTCTATGGTTAAATTATCAAATACATCTTGCAGATATACGCAGAGACGTTTTGAGGTGTGGTCCAACAACTGCTGCAGTTTAACTTCTGCTGATGTCTCTGTTACGATTATTCCACCTTTTTCGGGATAGCAATCCTTTTTCGCCCTGACTAGTGCGCTATAACTGGGATACAATTTTTTACAGCTTCCTCTAACGATTTCGTATTGTCTCTTTGAAAGGTCAGCATCTACAAACATCGACAATGCTTTTATATGTGACAACTGCGAAATTTCTTTTGATCTGTCTTTATCCGCGTAGGCTGTTACATATTTTCTCCCTCGCATTAGTGACGTATCGATATCTTTCACCACTTTGGCAGCTGCAAGGTTACCGACATCACGAAATTTCATTTGAGCTGCGAAAGTTAGCTCGGGCGTATCATATTTTTCACGTAACTGTTTACATTTCCTCCTCTTGACACTTTCGCTGCAGTCACTGAAGAGTTTTGTAGGACGCCCCCGCCGCGTATCTCCAACAGGCACTTTAAACAAACCATTAAGCCAGTTTTCATTAATTTTCATAAAACTGCTTTCTTTTTTATGTGTGTCTTAAACTTAGCCTTCAATATAGACAATGTTTGTTTAAATTTCTTGTCCTTTTTAGAAGTTTTGTTCATTAGAAAGTTTTCAAGGTACAATAATTTACTTGCAAAATTGTTTTGTGGGCATTCTTTCATGATTTCATGTAATTCTCTTCTAGTATATGCTAGTTCAGCACAATTTTCTGAAATATACATATTCATTAAAATCTTAAACATTTTACGTTTTTTTGTGTTACAAGGCTATGTTTTTGTTAATCAGGTAATTCCACCATGTAGTAAGAACCAAGTAGTATGAGATATGCCATTATGCCTTATTTATAACCGTCTATATTTTTAATAACAATAATAAAGCTCAGTTCCCTTTCATTATGCCAAAACATTTAAGGTACAAAACATTTTTGCCTGTTCACACAGCGATAACCTGAAGACGGGAATTTCCCGAAACCAGTACTTGAGTACACAATAGATTTAATTCTTCAGGCATTTTAATGAATTTTATTTTATTTAAGGTACAGGTAAAACCGAACGCTTCTACGAAATTGTTTGTATTTACGTTCTATGTAACATGTGCGCACACAAAAACATAAGTATAAATAACTTCTGCATCTGCGGTTTTCCGCGGCTGAACTAAACGGTTATGAATAGTAGAAAGTCGGGTTTTCGGTACAAATACTCCTCTTTAGAACGGCGCGCCGTTCTAAACTAGTTTCGCACGTGTACTTACCAATAGATTTGACACGGAAAGAGAAATAAACTTTTCCGTGACTTCGTGAATCCGCTATTGGATATATAGTTCCCGTGCGGTTATTATAAACATTTCGGAACACTTTTATTAGAAAGATCGCTTCAGAATAATGTATCCTATAACCGTATAATGCTCTGATGCGGAAGATACGAGACACCCTGTCTGTATAGCTATGCATATATTCTGGGCTACTCTTAATTTTAGAATTAAGTACTAACTTAATCATTTTTAGTTAATTTATTATTTTTGTCTTAGGTAGCAAACAGCTAAATCTAGTTACTATTAACCATAATCGCCTTCGCCGTGTCGTGTCATCAACATCAAAACCAACAACAACCTACGTACCTGGCTCGTAGCGTCTCCAAAATAATCGGGGAGAAGTACGTCGAGCGCAGCTTATATCTCTTAATTAACAACAAACAGCAACTGTGACAAAAAGTGCAAACAACAAGCAAGAAAAAAAAACACCTCTAACAGCAACAAAAAAAACAGCAAGTTTTAAGATTTTCTTTTAAATAAGTAAAAAAAAAATAGATCGAGTAGAAAGGTCGTCTCTCTATGGAGCAGCCGCTGGAAAAAAATAACAATAGTAACAACTAAATAATTAAAGGTAGGATCCCATAGCCCATTAAAAAAATCCTTCTTCTTATTCTTAATACGTCGTGTCGTCGTTTCTCTTCTTGCTTTGGATTGAAATCGCAGAGCAGTTGTGGTACCTGACATTTTCGCGAACGATCGTCGTCTGAATAGAGAGAGGACTCTTGGTTAATTAAATAATAATTAATTTTTGAAATGTCGGAAAAAACGAATTCTTTCTACAAAAAGTGCAACAACATAATAAAGTTTTAAGGAAATGAAATTAAAACGAAACGGAAAAAAAAAATGGAAATAAGATTTTAGATTTAAATAATTTGTAAAAACTGGTTAAAAATTGAAATGATAAATTTTAAAATGGTTTTTTTCTTGAAATATGAGATGGTTGAGAAGTTTTACGGAAAATCGGGGGAAAAAAATTGGAATATTAAAACAGGAAAACAAACATTTTATTTAATTTTCTTTTTCTTTTTTTTTTGGGAAACTTAGGAAATCGAAAAACATAATTAAGAAAGTAATAAATTTAAAACACAGCCAGAAAAAACTTGCAAACACGTTTAAAAAATTACAAACACATTAAAAAACAAACATACAAAAAGTGAAGTGTTTCTAGTTTTTATATTTAAAATAGTCGTAAATGAATGATGTGTTTTTTTTTGTAGTCTTTAACGCTATAATAACTATAATTATTTGCTCTATGTGTTAGAAAAAATGATGAAACGGGGGGCAAATTTCGCGACGAACGCTAACCAAAACCAACGGGACTTTATTAATTTAATAATTATTTTTTTGTTATTGGAAACGAGATACGCGGTAATTAATTAATATAAACTATTTAAAAACTCATCAACAACCCCAAATGTGTGATATATATTTAATATATTCTTTTTTAATTGTGATATTCCTTTCATTTTTTTTTTTTATTTTTGGTGTCGTTCGTCGTGGACATGTTCCCAAAATTATTTTTTAAATAAAACATTTCTTTTGATAACAATAGAAATTTTCTTGACAATCGTTTTCAAAAAATTTTGGAAAAAAAGCGATGATGAAGATAATTTTAAAAATTATAAAATAAACTCGGCCAAGGATGTAAAAAATTATATAAACGAACAAAATACACAAAGAAAAATTTAATAATAATTAATTAATAATAATAATAATCATCAGAATATTCAAAAGTACATTTTATTTTTTTACACGATTACTAAAAGAAAAATTAAAAAGTTAAAAATTAATCAAGCTCTACAATAACTTTATAGTCATAACAAAATAATTATGTAAGAAAATTCACAAATGTTTTTATTGTAAATCATATGTGATCAATCTTTATATTTTAATTATTGATTATAGTTTGTATGTCTTATAGTTCCACTTAAACGCAAGATTTAAGATATTAACGACCATTAATATGTAACGAAGCAACAAATTTTAATAATGGATACTTTTGATGGATAATATAACACCTTGATGAGACTCCTGAGCCACCAATACAAGTTGAGGGGAAAATTAATAAGGTATTTTTAATTTTCCAAAATTTTCATTCATAGAATAGTGTTTAAATAACCAATAATAGTAGCTAATAAGTCTAAGATTTTAGAATTCTTTATATGAACTCCATCTTCACCAATTTTGAAACCTTGAGGAAGTTGTAATAAATATAACAATAAGAATACTGCATCTGGAAGCTTATAACTTTTCTTATAGGCTGCCAACTTGTTGGCAGCATGAGCTATTACATCCCAGAGCTTCTGTTCTATAACGAAAAGCCTGCCAACTTGTTGGCAGCATGAGCTATTACATCCCAGAGCTTCTGTTCTATAACGAAAAGCCTGCCAACTTGTTGGCAGCATGAGCTATTACATCCCAGAGCTTCTGTTCTATAACGAAAAGCCTGCCAACTTGTTGGCAGCATGAGCTATTACATCCCAGAGCTTCTGTTCTATAACGAAAAGGCTGTCAACTTGTTGGCAGCATAAGCTAATATATCTGGAAGCCTACAACATCCCTTTTAAGCTGCCAACTTGTTGGCAGCATGAGCTACTACATCTGAAAGTTTGTTATTTCGTTAATAGGCTGCCAACTTGTTGGCAGCATGAGCTGTTACATCCCAGAGCTTCTGTTTTATAACGAAAAGCCTACCAACTTGTTGGTAGCATGAGCTACTACATCTGGAAGCTTGTAATTTCGTTAATAAACTGCCAACTTGTTAACAGCATAAGCTATTACATCCCAGAGCTTCTGTTCTATAACGAAAAGGCTGCCAACTTGTTGGCAGCATGAGCTAATATATCTGGAAGCCTACAACATCCCTTATAAGCTACTACATCTGAAAGTTTGTTATTTCGTTAATAGGCTGCCAACAAGTTGGCAGCATAAGCTGTTACATCCCAGAGCGGCTGTTCTATATCAAAAAGCCTGCCAACTTGATGATAGCATGAGCTAGTACATCTGAAAGCTTATAACTTCGTTTAAAAAAGCAATTGTTAATTATATCTTTTATTTACCAACATTTTCATTCATGGAATAGTGTTTAAATCGCCAATAATAGTAGCTAATAATTCTAAGACTTCAGAATTCTTTATATGAACAGCATCTTCACCAATTTAGCCAACTTAAGAAAATTGTAAAAAAACGGTGAGAATACTACATCTGGAAGGTGATAACTTTCCTTATAGGCTGTCAACTTGTTGGCAGCATGAGCTACTACATGTGGAAGCTTGTTATTTCGTTAATAGGCATGAGCTATTACATCCCTGAGTTTCTGTTCTATAGCGAAGAGTCTCCCAGCTTGTTGGCAGCATGAGCTTCTACATCTGAAAGCTTATAACTTCGTTTATAGGTTGCCAACTTATTGGCAGCATGTGTTACTATATCTAGACGCTTGCAACATCTCTTATAGACTGCCAACTTGTTGGCAGCATGCGTTATTGTATTTCAGCGATTCTATTCTATATTGTAAACCCTTCCAACATGAAAGCAGCATATGCTATTGCATCTCAGAGCTTCTGCTCAAATCGTAGAAGGCATTAACGAACGTTAATATGTAACGGATCAACAAATATTAATAATGGATACTTTGGATGGAAGATATAAGACCTTGATGAGATATCCAAGATCCAACCCAACCTAACCTAACCTAACCCAACCCACCAATACAAGTTGAGAGGAAAATTAATAAGGTATCATTGAACATATTTTTTATTTACCAAAATTTTCGTTGATGGAATAGTGTTTAAGTAGCCAATAATAGTAGCTAATAATTCTAAGGCATTAGAATTCTTTATATGAATTCCATCTTTTTGCCACCTTAAGAAAATTGTAAAAGAAAAAACAATAAGAATACTACATCTGGAAGCTTATAACTTTTCTTATAGGCTGCAAAGTTGTGGAAGCTTGTAACTTCGTTTATAGGCTACCAACTTGTTGGCAGTATGAGCTATTACATCCCAGAGCTTCTGTTCTATAACGTAAACCCCGCCAACTCGTTGGCAGCATAAGCTACTACATCTGAAAGTTCATAACTTCGTTTATAGTTTGCCAACTTGTTGGCAGCATGAGCTATTACACCCCAGAGCTTCTGTTCTGCAACGAAAAGGCTGCCAACTTGTTGGCAGCATGAGCTACTACATCTGAAAGCTTATAACTTCGCTTATAGGCAGAATGAGTTACTACATCTAGAAGCTTGCAACATCTCTTATAGACAGCCAACTTGTTGGCAGAAAGCCTTCGCACATGAAAGCAGCATGTGCTATTCCATCGCAGAGCTTCTACTCTAGTCATAGAAGGCATTAAGGAACGTTAATATGTAACGAAGCAATAAATTTTAATAAGGGATACTTTGGATGAAAGATATATAAGACCTTGATGAGATTTCCAAGCCACCAATACAAAATGAGAGGAAAATTAATAATGTATCATTGAACATATTTTTTATTTACCAACATTTTCATTCATGGAATAGTGTTTAAATAACCAATAATAGTAGCTAATAATTCTAAGACTTTAGAATTCTTTATATGAATTCCATCTTCACCAATTTTGCCACCTTAAGAAAATTGTAAAAGAAAAAACAATTAGAATACTACATCTTAAACCTTATAACTTTTTTTATAACCTGCCAACTTGTTGGCAGCATGAGCTACTACATCTGAAAGCTTACAACTTCGTTTATAGGCTGCCAACTTGTTGGCAGCATGAGTTACTGCATCTAGAAGCTTGCAACATTCCTTACAGACTGCTAACTTGTTGGCAGTATGAGCTATTGTATTTCAGCGATTCTATTCTATAACGCAGAGTCTGTCAACTTGTTAGCAGTATGAGCTGTTACATCCCAGAGCTTCTGTTTTATAAAGCAGAGTCTGCCAACTTGTTGGCAGCATGAATTATTACATCCAACATTTTCTGTTCTGAAAGCTTACAACTTCGTTTATACACTGCCAACTTGTTGGCAGCATGAGTTACTATATACAGGATGTCTCAGCGAGACCGGTCATTAGACGTTTCTGGGGTTCTGGCCAAAATAAAAATTTGAGAATTCAGACTTAAGTATAGTTCGTTTTTTTTCTATAATACTTGTCAATGTAAATTATTTAGGGTTTCTGTTCGTATAATCTAGGACGCTTATAAAATTTATGTTGTTTTCATGGTTTTTAGTAACATTTTCAGTAACTATTTAGTTCAGGTTAAAATACTAATACATTTTTAGGTAAATACGATTTTCACGAAGCACATATTTGTTGTAAAAACGTGCTACAAAGTAATTAATAGAATAAAATACCTTTTCTAGGTAAATAAATGGCAAATAAACACCCCACAACACTTTTTATGCACCTTTTCTTTTTGAATAACGAAAGCTCAAACGTCAATGTGACATATTTACTTCAAAACATGATAAAACAAAACTCCCTGTTAATTTTGCCAACTTTACAACAATTTGACAGGTATTATAGAAAAAAAATGAACTATATTATCAGTTGAGAACGTAACTGACGACTAAAATATGTTCAGATTTCTTGCACTTCCAGTTATACCGGAAGTCGCCACCTACTTTATTTTTTTAAATGGAACACCCTGTATATTTTTACATATTTGGATTTGTCTATTTTGGAGGTTTATAAATAACTTTACTTTTTACAATTTGATTTGGCCGTTCTCGAGTTATTCGAATTTTTCTAGAAAAATCTGCTGCAGCAGACATTCCTTCAAAAAATCAGAGAACACTCGATTTTTGGCATATCAATTTAGGATTCAGAACATGCTTAAACAACATGATGGAGTATGTTTTGGTGCCGAGAACGGCTGTCTAGAACGTTTGGTCACTTTACTATGGCACGTTAACTTTTCGAAATTTGGAAGTACCATAACTTAATTTTTTTAAATGGCACCCCCATATTTTATTACTTAGTCGTCTTCGGTGTCTTCAACTCCATCATGTTGTTTAAGCATGTTCTGAATCCTAAATTGATATCTCAAAAATCGAGTGTTCTATGATTTTTTGAACAAATGTCCGCTGGAGCAGATTTTTCTAGAAAAATTCGAATAACTCGAGAACGACCGAATCAAATTGCAAAAAGTACAGTTATTTATAAACCTTCAAAACAGACAAATTCAAATATGTAAAAATATACAGGGTGTTCCATTTAAAAAAATAAAGTAGGCGACTTCTGGTATAACTGGAAGTGCTAGAAATCTAAAAATATTTTAGTCGAAGAGAACGTAATTGATAATACTTAAGTCTGAATTTTCCAATTTTTATTTTGGCCAGAACCTCAAGAACGTGTAATGACCGGTCTCGCTGAGACACCCTGTATAGAAGCTTGTAACTTCCCTTGTAGGCTACCAATTTGTTAGTGGCATGAGTAATATCATCACATTGATGATACCCATGGAAGCTAGAGTGGTGTTATCTGATTGATGCATAGCAGTAACAAATGTTTCCTTAATCTAGGTTTGAACCAACCCAACTCAACCCGGTTGCATACACTATTATTCGAAATTATCTCTGACAAAGTCTCAACATATCCAAATCTTTGCTTATTTAACCATAACCCTACATTGTTTAATAAGCATTTACCACTTAAATTTACGTTTGAATCAGATACATCAAATTTAAATTAGATCTATTTATTTATTAACACGTTGACTGCCAACTATGAGATAACTCGTAGGTTGTTCTTACAAAAACTTTTTTAGCCACAAAAGTGGGTTGCAATTTTTTCAACATTATAATTAAATATAACAAATAAAGATTGATCACATACATTGAATATTTTTATTAATTAATTTTGTGATTTAATTTTTTTTCTATTTTCGTTACAACAAAATTTATGAACCTCACATTAATATAAATGAACTCAAAGCTAGTGTAAATTAACTCAAAATTAATTAATTTAAATCAAATCATTTAAAATTAACATTCAACACATAAAAAGCGCATAATAAACTTAGATGAATCGAATTCAAAATTTTTCATACATTTTCTACTTAAAGAAAAGTTAAAAATATATTAAAAAACCAAAAAAAAAATAATAATAATGCGTCGATTAGAAAAATAAATAAGGCGAAAAAGAAAAAAGTGTACATAATACTTTATAAATATGTGATTAGTGTTAATAAACGAATCTTGTGAGTTTATATTTATTAATTAAATGAAAAATGATAGAAGTGAAAAATAAAGCAACCAATCCCAGTGCGTTGTAATGAAATCCCAAACTTCTAATTTAAGTACCATTTAATTATTATTTTGTAATAACTCTGCTCATATAATGTAATAAATTTAAGATTTTTTTGTATAAAAAAAAATTTAACAAAGATGAGATAATAAAATAAGGTTAGAGTTAAAAAGTGTGCAATATAACATCTTAATTAATTATAATTAACATATCACACCGTAAAATTAAAAATTAATCTTTGTTATATTTTTTTTTTCTTTTTTGGGTTGTCCTTAAGGTTTCTTTGTGTTCACATAAATTAAAATATAAAAACAACTCGTAATTATTGTGTGTAAAGCTGTAGAGAAAAATACTGACAAAAAAAAATGTAGAAAAAGGGCGTCGTCGCAATTTTTTCTTATCTTTTAACTTTATTATAAGCGTTGTGTTTTCCGAAAAAAACCCTTTTTAAAAAGTACTTAATCGTGTTCTATTTTTAAATTAAAAAATGATGAAAATAGGGGCAGAGACAACGACCTTATCCCTTTTTTTAATGAGTTTTTAATATTAATTGTTTTTGTAAAATCTATTTCGATCGATCTCAAAGTACTGACGTATATGTTTAATTCCCTTTTTATATAGCGCTTGTTTGTTAAAAATTAAAAGAGGAAAGAAAATGGTAATGAAATGTAATTGGTTAAAAAAGAAAAACCTGTAAGTTTAATAATTAATTAATTATGAGAAAAATGGTATATATGATATTTATGTACAATAGAAATGAAAATTAAAAAAAGGAATCGAATAAATACATAAAAATCAATTCAATTTTAATAACATTGATTTTAATCCATTTTCTTAGCTCCTTCTATTGATTCAAATGACAATTTATAATGATTCAATAATTTCTAAATTTGTAGTTATTTATAGGTTCGGTCCAACCGCACTTTTGACTGCCAATTGACAGTCACCAGCCTGCGCAGTTGAAAAGTGCTGTTCCATCCGATCCGTGGACGTGCCGCGGACTGGTCGGCGACAAGTTGTCATGAGTTCCAACGACCGTCGGACGCGTTCATGTACAGTTCTGTTCAGATATAATGCGAAAAGATCCGCTCGTAGAGGCATAAAATTGTGCTAGAAACGACCTACGTTGACGAGGCATTCAATTCGGTTTTACCTGCTCTGTAGTTTTGTAAAAGTTCCCAACAGGCAAGCGGGGTGGTGTGATTTATGGCCAAGATGACTGAATCACAAAGAATAATTAAGAAAATAAATAGGTATAAGCAATTCATTTACTTTACACAATTCCTGTAGTAAATGAAAATAATTACTAATAATTACTGTATTACTTTGGTAATACAGTGGAAGGATGAGACGAACCTCAAAAGAAATGAAAATGATATATTGATAATAAGTAATATATAAACTATACATATATTGAAATATATCGCAAACCATTTTAATATAATAAAATCAAAAAAAAATATATAATACTTCTATATAACAAAAAATATAATATATTATTATATATATAAAATATAATAAATATTATAATAATCGAATTGGGGAGAATTTCATACAATCCATTATACCATCAAATATCAGTATTTTGTATAATACCCATTATTCTCTATGCAACATTGCAATCTGGTGGACATCGAATTTACTAATCTTTCGCATACATCCTTGCCGCGAACAATTCCCACATAACTGTAATGTTGCGGCGCAGATTATACACGTTGCGAAAAGGAAAATTGGCATTTTTATTGAACTGATCCGGTTAGATCCGGTGACCACACTGGCTAGGGTATTCGCCTAACGTCATTATGATCGTCAAACCAATCATGAACAATTCTTGAAGAATGCACGGGCGAATTGTCTTGGACTATCGTGATGATCCCTTCTGGATACAGGTTCTTACTGGTGGTATCAAAACATCCTCCAGCACTCGAATGTATTAAATCTTCCTTTAATTTCGGTCAGTTCTCCCGGTCCATGAATGCTCATCCATCTCCAATAACCCAAGGAATTGTGTCCACTTCTTGTATTTGGTTGAACATGATTAGCATCATACTTACTTGGGTTTTACCCAAGGTTTATATATAAGAGGTTGTCTAGGTTCGTACGCAACCGTACTGCGCATTACGTCACATGTGGAAAATAATACCGCCAAGCAATTCAAATTAAACAAAGGCATGGAGCACCACATGGCCATGAGGTTGCGTGCGCAATCCGTGATCGCTTACGTCATGAAACACTCCTGCTCTTGCCCCTCACCCACAAACTAAAATCAAAGTATTGCAGCATAGGAACTTAGACAACCTTTAATATATAAACCTTGGGTTTTACCCTCTTCCTTTAGTCTCAGAAACCGAATTGAATAGAAACAAAAGATGTCTCCGTCTTCTTCCAGTACCAGCGTCATGTCGGAGCTAACAGCGGCCGATTCGCATTAAATCTGAACAGAGCTGTACGCGTCCGCGACAAGTCAAATGCGTACCTGGTTTGGACGATGTACGGTTGGTCACGTTCTTTAGCGCTTGCGCATAACAGAGCATAACTCATTTCCAATTGTGCAGCCGGTCTGTTTGTATCTCTTATGGGTATCTTTACCATCAAGCGGGTCTGTCACGACGAGCTGAGTCTATATCTATGTGGCAAACTACTGGCACTATTTCTCTGAAAATTTGCATATAGCGTTTATCCGAGATGCTCGTTTTAGCTAAAATATTTTCAGTGTTCTCCAACTTCCGGTTATACCGGAAATGGACCCCAACTTCTTTATTTGAAATGGAATGTACCAATTTTTATTGAATTTTCGAGATCCCCACTAAATAATATAAATCATCATATGTCTAGAGTGCAC